TCCCTCGCGGGATAAACCTTCTTTCAAACCTTTGTAATAGCTCTGCTACCCTGTTCAATCTTGCTGTAGTATCGATTCATCTTTTGTAACCTCTCTCTCTCTCTCTCTCTCTCTCTCTCTCTCTCTCTCTCTCTCTCTCTCTCTCTCTCTCTCTCTCTAAGCTTTCAGACCCTTGACAAAACTACAAAGATAGGAACCTACAAGACGAGCAGCCTTACCTGATAAGGTTTAACCTTGCTCGACCTTCTTTGCTTTGTTTTTGTCTTTTCATTCATTAAGCCTAACAATATGTTGTATACTTCCAGTTATATGCAAGTTATTTCTAGCAATATGACTATTAAAAGGCTTTCTCAGTACTTGGATCCGATTTGAATATATCTTCAGTGTTCAAACCAGATCCAAGTCCTAAGCCCTCGGGCATGCAAATCTGATCAGTTAAAAGTCCTTGGCCTCAAGGCATAAAAAAGAACCTTATGTGGACTTAACCCATCCACGACAGTCCTTGATAAACGAGAAGTCCGAAGTTACTTGGGGCGCAAGTAATCGACCTACCCTTTAGTTTTATTTCTATTATATTATGATTATCATAGAACGCTTAAGCATGGAATGGATTCTGATGGGAAGCCTCAAGGCCTACACCTAAGGCCCCACAAAGGCATCCATTTGGATTCATTCCGTTCTGCGATCTAGAGAGTTTGAGTACAAGAACGAATTCTGATGAGAAGCCTCAAGGCCTACACCTAAGGTCCCACAAAGGCACCTATTTGGGTTTATTCTACCTCTCGGACTCGGGTAATCAAAAGTATAATAGTTATAAAACTCCTGCAATCACGAGAACAAATATGATGTGTTCGAGCACTGGTTTAGTTATTGATGGGAAGCCTCAAGGCCTACACCTAAGGCCCGACAAAGGCACCTGTTATAACTAACACGGTTTCTCGGATATATACATATATACAACTAAAACTCGACATCCATTTTACATCTGTCATGCTGAAGATGGCAGTGGCACGCCTGAGCACCTAAAAGTTAACCTTGATTGTGAGCCTCAAGGCCTACACCTAAGGCCCCACAAAGGCACCTCTCAAAGTTAACTCTGTCCTTCTCTTTCAGCCTTGCCCGACAAGACTCGCCCGACAAGACTTGCCCGACGAGACTTGCCCAACAAAGCCCGACAGTGAAGCAGAAGCCCGACAGCAGTACTCAACCGGCGCCAACCTCCCGGGGAGCTGTGTGCTCGTCGGCCAAGAAACATCCCCGACGGAAATTCTTGACGCGAACAGGGTGGATTCAAGCTTGGACCAAAAGGGCGAGCATACTATACTGACCAACTGACCAATCTTCATATTTGCGCCCAACTTTTATTTGCTGTAGGTTTTTCAGTTCAGTCGAGTCAACGCCGGAAAATAGAGTCGTTCTTTTGCATGTTTACTTAATTAGAAGGAGATGAATCAGAGAAAATGGATGAGAATGTGATTAGCCACTCCCTTAATCAATAAGCAAAACCTCGAGTTTCTACATTATCCATAAAACCTAGATTACATTTATACATGCACAGGATTCCAGATTAATGAGTCTTCACAAGTTCAAACAACCTACTCCCCCCTTGGGCAGCTGGGCTAGTAGCCTGGTACATATTCATGCTAGGTTTTCCTAGAGGAGTTGCAACAGAAAATGACCAAGCTACATTCTCCCACTGTTAGAGGTCTACACCTAAGCCGATCCTGAATTCTGCACTAAGCAACCAGCGCTTTAGGTAACTTGATTTTCAGTTCTATTTCCCCTGATTCGACGTCACAAAGCCTCAACCAAACACTCTGCACCACCTCACCGTCTACACAAGCGATGGAGCTTTCCCCAACTAGGCAATTTTCACCATCTGGGACAACCTTCCTTAATGTTGTCTCACCGGATGAAACACGCAAAATCTGTCTCAATCTAGCTGCGGAGACTATTGGCTGAAGGCTGAGGTGAGCATGTCCCATCTTATCATCCGTCTTCAGAAAGTCTTTGTCGAACACTTCCTATGGAAAAAGACCTTTTGTCATGTCATACAAGCCTAAAAGAGTTGTAATGGGAATAGTAGTTATTTTCATCAACTATATAATCAATCATCAGAAAATTACTCAGGAATATTGATTTCAAAACAACAGTGAACATAATAGAATCTGAAAAATAAAATATAACTGGACTAAAACCAAAACTGAAATAACGAAACATGTACAAATTAAGGAAAAGTAATGGTCTAATTTTGGCAAAACACTATCAAACACAACAACATAATATATTAAGCTCATCAGAAGAACCGGCCACCATCAAATTCAAATGCCCAACTTACCAAACTTAGAACTTCAATAGGCTCCTTAAGGAAGAAGCTTAGCTCTTCATTCCAAACTGGATTGAGGCAACTGTTGATAACCTTGGTTTTTGCCTCCTGGTACAGATAATACTAATGAGTCGCTTCAAAGTTCAACTTTTATTGTAAAACAACTTTATGCACATCCAAAGTAATTAATACGTGAGATACTCTGAGCCTATTTACAAACAGGCCCCTCAAAGAAACGCGCAAATGATATTCTAGTCTATAGTTATGCCAGAACTGTGAAGGCCTCCTCATACACGAAATTTGAAGTAAAGACAACAGGATATTCCAATTCCGCACATCGTTGAAGTGTGCGCGATCGAAAAACAACTATAATCTTAGCATGTGAAGGAATCAATTCAAACAATTTGGTCTCTTGATAAACTATTTGAAGGAAATTGGAATCATACATCCAGTCCAAGATTAATCTGGCCACAGTAAAGACTGAGTGAAATATGAAAGGTTCTCAATCAGTTGGTAAAACTAACTTCTTCCAGTTGAAAGGCTAAACAATAAAGAAGCGAGGTAGCCCTCTTGCTACCATAATCATATCAACAGAATCTTTTGGTCTAGGTCGTTAAGCCTAGAAGATAGATTGCGTAACCTTGCTTTCACTCAACATAATTTGTAGGAAATTTGATTCAACGTTGGTTAAAAGGGGAACTGACACTCATCCTTCCTAGAATATAAGGACAGGTTACTTGTTTGAGTTCCCCCGTCTCCCATCCTCTTTTCAAGTCCCACTCTTTTCCCCGTTATTTATCAAGTAAGCTTATGAGGAAAGTAACACAAATTCTCCCGAAGACAATCCAATGCACTCAGCTCAGGGTGAGTTCTACAAAGTCATGTGTGTCTGTGAACAAGAATATGTGTCTCTGTGCATGCCGCGTAGTATTAAAGCATAACTATGAACTTCATGAAAACGGTTGAGCAAAAAAATAAGGACATCAAATTCACCTGATTGCCCAACTTGACAACAACATAAGGGTCGCTGCTCCTGAAATCCCGGATTACCAGTCCCTTCCCTTGCACGACTGTAACTTTTATCAAACCCAATGAATCTCCCATACTTCCTTTCCGCTTTCCAGAAATTTGCCAACTTCTGCACATTACTCACAGACATATCTAACCATTTCAAGTTTGAAAAGAAATGCACGAGAACACCGACTTAATCATGCTCTTTTGCACTACGCAAGTACCCAACCCAAGTCTTAAAAGAAACCCAGCAATAGCATACATCCATCCAGAGGGCGTTGAAGGTTACATTTACAAAAAGCAAACAATATCCATGGAACTTTACAGAATATTTGTGAAAGAAGAAGAAAAACTCAGTAAACGAAAAGGCGGAGTTACTAACAATTCCACATAACTTTAAGAATCAAGTTTAAAATAACATGTGTATTTGAGAAAAAACTGTGTGGTTATTCAAGAACATCTTAGATCGATCACATAAAATAAACCGATAAATAATATACATATAGTTCACTTGACTTGTGTGTGAAAATAAAAGACAGAGGCTTTGCAGAAAATTAAAAACAGAAAAGGAAAAAAGAAGCTTGTTTTAGCAACCAATAACCAGATCAACCAGATCATCTATGTCACATTTTATATCAAAAAAAAAATATATATATATATATATTATTACAAAGAAACTCAAAGGCAGCAAAACCAAAACATTGCAAGGATAGAAAAGCCATTAGCCACCCAGCACTCACTCACTGAACAAATTAAACTAAAAAAGAAAAAGAAAAATAATTAACTAGTTAATTTGTATGATCATATGTGGAGAACAAGTGCAGTAATTTAGAAGCATAGCATGAAAAGCAAAAACCAGAGAAAGAAAGAAAGAAAGAAAGAAGAGAATCACTTCACTTGACTTACCAGGCACAGACAGTCAGGCAGTGGCAGTAGAGATTTGTTTTTAAGGATTTATGAACAAGAATTAATATTGAATTAATCCTACGGAACTGGATTTTATGGCCCTCTCCTTCTCCATCTCCCCCTCTCCCCCTCTCCCTCTGGTTTAATATTAGTAAAGGGTTTTCTGGTTTTATTTACCGTCAAAATAAGGAGACACTTGGACAGCCAGCGGAAGCGGGAATACCGACTAACCGGTCCCTATGGTTGGCTGAGGAGTTGATGATGGCATCAGTAGTGGATTAACGCAGGCACGTGCCAGTCAAGACTTGACCAATGATAGGACACACACAAGAGATTTTTCAATGCAACCGATACACGAGATGGTACAAATGATGAAATATGTATGCTAAAAAGTTAATAACCTAAAAAATAAAAAATTTCATCACTTGTATAAAAACACATAGTGTATTATCCGTATTCCCGTCACAATAAAAATTTTCTCTATACACACAACACCTGGTCTGGTCCGAGTGAGCTATAGATTAGGGGGGACCGTCCGATGAGTTGACGCTTGATGTCATTTCATTCATTTTGGAAACGTAAACGTAAATGATAAGTGTGGCCCCAGTGGTACTAGTGGGCAAAGAATATATAAACAAACAAACAAACAAACAAACAAGCGTCCTTCCATGGAATGGACTCCGCTGTCTGCAAACAAGGCTAGCTAATCAGAAAAATGAATCCACCGACATTGACATGAAACTCTAACAAGAAGAAGAAATAAAACAAAGCCCTCCAATTATCACTTCCATGGATGTTATTAGGATTCAAGCAAGAATTAACACACAAACACAACACACGATTATCCCCACGTATAAAACTCTACTGTACATGTCGCGGCCATTCAAGCATAAGTTGTGGAGGTAAACTAGCGTCAACTAGACTATACTCAGACTCCACTAGAGCCCATTCATCGCATGTCAAAATCTATCAGCTAACCATTACCAAGTCCCCAGGTCTAGTACGTACAGTCACCGCTGTCGCTAAAGATACCCAAAATGTTTACAACCATTTAACACTTCCTTCACCTACAGTCAGTGGGATATGCATATTATATGCCTACGCTGTCTTTTTTACATTCTACATCAATGCTGCCGGCCACCCTTCTTCATTCTTCATTCTTCCCTCACCGCCCACGCCATACTGCAACGCCACAGATTACTCACAGCCCCGCAGCCAGCCCAAGGTAAAAGTGGTACAAAGTGGCTCCACCAGTCATCGCACTCGCTTTGAACCTTTTTTCACTACTCGTTGCGTCCACTTGCCCTGCATCCATGGCACACAAGAAACAAGACGATTAAAACTAAGAATTTCACTTTTATATGCCCACTAACACAGCTTTAGCATTTTGTATATAAAAAATATAAAAAAATAAAAAAAGCAAGGCTGTAGGCGAGTACGAGAGGCTCATCATCAGAAAGTTCGTCATCTCCGGCATCAGAAAGACTTGAAGGCTCTACATGGGATTTCTCCTGCTTCAAGGGACTACCAGAAATATCATCTTTATCTTGAGTCCCTTCAGAATCTGACGGATCTTCCTCATTAACCCCTCTTGACCCTCCACTTAGTTCATCTGCTTCTTTCTCTTCTGAGTGTTGCATCTCCTCAGTTCCATTTTCAGCATCTTGTGGAATACTGTCCATGTCTTCAGCAGGGATCCCTTCCGAACCAGGATTCTCTTCATCAGATTCCTCGGTATTATTTGGACTTTCTTCCGCATCTTTCAACCCTTTTCCTTCAGAAACAAACTTCACTTCCGTGTCAGATTCCCCCTCATCTGTCACGTTCTCGTCCACTTTTTCAGCTTTCTCTTCTTCTGAACTACCTGCAAAAGAAATTGATTTAAGATTAGATACACAAACAAAACATGGATCAGCCATCGTTACGTTTCATTACATGTCAGAATTCTTACAGGTCCACCCAGACCTTTGCACCGAATGTCATTGCTGTTACAGATAGGTATATCATATGTCACAAGCACTATGGCATCAAGATGAAAACTGATGAGAAATCTTACCAGAGTCGATTTCATCAATTTTAGATGTAAGGGCAGGCTCATTCCCAATGATTTCTTTTTGAATCATTCCGATACTTCTCTTTGTCCCTACTTCCCCAATGATTTCTTTTTGATACGCCCTTCTTCCTGGCCGAGTTTTTCTTTGGTGTTCTTTTCCTTTTAACTCTACAAAATCAGAGACCAATCACATTACAATTTTTATCTTTAAGAAAAAGAAAAAGTATCGGACAAATAAGCAAAGGATGCAAACTTCACTAACGTTTTAATTGGTTTTTTGTTCTCTCGCGAACCACCTGTGGGCTTATTCTTTTGACCAGGGGACCTGTAATAATAAAAGAGAAGAAAATGAGATGGCATACCATAGACATCCCCATTCAAGGCTAACAAATATTCCCCAAAATCGTTAGGTGAATCACTTTGAAGAACATATAATCTACAGGCTTGCATCAGAAAGACCATACTTACACTTCTTTTGAGGGGGATTTATTTGACGAATTTAACTTCTGTAAATGAGGAAACATGTAATGTGTCAGAATTATGTCATGATTTGTTCCTTTACTGGAAATGTAAAGTAGAACTGCAGAGCGCTATCAGCTAGAGGAGAGAATTCTGATAAAAAAATTTCACACCTTTGTGGGCTTGCGACCTTTGTCAATGAGCTCCCACCGTTCCTTTTCTAACCGAAGTACTTCTACATCTCCATCTTCATACAGTATCTTCCATGTGACATAAACAAGTGAAAATTATTAGTAAATGTGTACATTTACAGCAGGTTATCTGTATATCCAAGAGATGATAAGGGAAAGAAAGTGCAGCTTACCACATGCTTCCTCTTTAACGTATCAAACGACTTCACCGTGCCTTCATAAAATCTGTAGATTTTAAAATAAGCCAAATAAGTATTTTAGTGCTTATTTATATTCTAGTTCTTATAAACTAGTTCATAATCATATAGTTGCAATGTAAGACAGAAATTAGAAATGAAAGGGGCAGTTTTTGAGTATAATAATCAGCAAAAAGGAAAGCTTCAATCTGTATGTCTTGTCTGCAGATTGTCTATTAGAGCACTCACCGCTTATCCATTGGCCACCAAACTTTTATTCTGCAACCAATCAAGTCTTCGACATCTTTTCCACTTTCCTTGAATTTGCACTACGGATGAAAATAGAAAACTGCATCAGTTCAGAAACGACATACTAATGATACCATAAAGGAAGGTGTGCCAGTTTTAATGACGTCACCACTGTGATGTTGGATGTGAAGGTGTAAATCAACTTACCTTTGCCAAACCGGAAATGCTCTTTCTTTTCCGCTTCTTGATGGATCCTGCAGGAGAGTTGAAATCACTATTTAGGTCATCCTTGTCAGCCTCCAGCACATTAGGCTCCTGCAATAAAGGTACAACATAAGTTTATTACAATGTTGAACAGCTAAGAGAACCATGATGTTATGCATTTTGAATAAAAAAAGTTGGAAGAGAACTCACTTCACGGTCACTGGCTTCTCCAACTTCATTTGTCTCATCATTAAGACCATGGTCAGAGGCTCTGCCTTTACGTTGTGACGAGGAGGTAGCATTCTTCCGGAAGCATGAAACCAACAAATCTGACTCGGTGCCTTGAACCAGTTTTCTCTGCATAGACATTTTATTTTAGAGCTGTGGTGAATCCTAGCATTCATGTCGATGGATTGAAATGATAAAATTATTACATTGCCTACATCGTCTACTGAAGCACTTAGAGGAGACTTTGAAGTACTTCTAGGTGATCTGAAAGCACCATGAGCGGATGATGACCTCCTACGTTTAGGAATGGGGACAGACGTTGCCTCAGTAGATTTTCTTTTGTTTTCCTTTTTGTGCTTTAGATCCATTCTTGATTTCTTGCTTGGAAGATTTTCATGACCGTTGCTTGACTCAAACTTAGAAGGCTTTTCCAAATTATCCAAATTTATATCCCTGACCATTTTCAATATATCAACACTATTTTCAGCATTCTCTGCATCAGCTGATGATGCCTTGTTCTTTTTTGCCTTTTTAGCCTTGGAATTTTGAGATCTTAAGCGCTTTATAATTCTTCCTAAAGGCACTTCACCTCCATCTCTTTCACCATCTTTCATAAGCTCATCTTCAGCAATCTCTGAAAGTCCCTATTGTGATGTAAGAAACAGCATACAAGTTACTAAAAGATCAATGATACACCAAATATCACAGCGTTTCAAGAGTGCAAGTGTTCTTCAGTATTATAACATACCGTCTCACTAGACTCTAACTTAAGAGATTCAAAGTGAGCCACCGCAGAGTCATCGGCCAACCATGTTTTCCCTTCACTGGCCTATCAAACATAAGCATTAAATTGGTATCATAAGAAATTGAGAATATGACCAAAATTAACAAAATATTACAAGAAAAACTTGATGTTGGTTTAACTTTAACCCAAGTAGTTTAGCACAAAGCATTAGAATATCTTAAGCAGTCTGGCTCAATCACATATCATGGAAAGTGACTCATTCTTGAAAATAATTACGTTTTTTTTCTTTTTAAGTCATGTTGTTTTGAGTTCTCAACTGTTGTACACAAGCAAGAAATCAGAATAGTCTAATTTCCAAGTCTAAAATGTGGGTTTAATCTCTCATTCCAGAAACTATAACCGCATGCTCAACACATAGGCAAGGCACCTGGTCTTGATCATTACCTGCCTTATCCAGCAAGCGACTTAAAAAGGAAAAGGGATCCCTTACCATAGAGTCATCTCCTTCTTTCTTGTCATACTGTTTGTACAACATAGAAGGTAGAGGAACTGATGCAGGCAATCCTTGTAAATCATACTCCTTTGGGGATAAGCGCTTGGTAACTGACAGCCCAAGGTCACAAATACCATGTGAATTCTGAAAATTTCAAAGTACCACATAAGTAAGCTTGAACAGGGGGAGGGATTGATGATTGAATATGCTCAGAGAGCCTGAAAAAGAAAACAGTATCAACAATAAGTTTAATAATCAACCTTTGACTTTGTTGCATCATATATATCTTCAGAGCACTTGATACTTTGAAAGATAGAGATTATAGCAGAAATATCCTCCTTTTCAATGTTGCTACTAGATTCTGACTTGACATCATCATCTCTATGCACCAACATAGACAGAAATAAGTGCAATTGCCTGTAAAATACAGAAAACGACAATTCAGTGAGAATGAGCATTAACAATAAAATAAATGCCAAGATACCATTTATCTACAGATATAGAATAATTCCGCCTCATTTTGTCAATCATTTCAGCTCTGATTTCATATAAAACATATCTATAAATGCATGTCAGAGGGAATATAATACCGGTATATCGGCTCAAATGCTTTCACATCCTTGCATTCATCAATATTAGGGCAAGAATGATGTGCAAGGGCATGAACCAAGTATGGGAGGATGTACTCCGGATAAGCAGTCAATGAATTGGCATCAGATTGCTGCATGGAGAGATGCCGCCCCTTTGTTTGGTGATACATTTGAATAATGTCTGCGAGATTCTGTTTCTCCTGCCATTTCAACCAAAATACAAACTTCAGCCAATAAACACGCTAAAACAAGGATGATTACTCTGAATGAATAAATCCTAGTATCGATACCTCTTGAAACTCCACTGACTTTGATCCAGATGTGTTAAAAAAGAATGCACAAGCGTATTTTCCATCTAAAAGCCGGTCCTTTATGTATTGATGAACTTTGTTCAGGAAAATTTTCTTAGCTTGAGGGAAACTAATCTAGAAGACCAAAAACAATAAACAAATAAATAAAGACAAAAATAGACATCCAGTTGCATGAATACGACAATTAAGTACTTGTATTAGGAAAAACATAACAAAAACAAAAAATACAGCAAGTAATACTGAAAAGATTAACCGGAAAAACTCCACCTCTGAAGTCTTCAAGGTTAAGTAGAAGATATCAACCGGTATCTTATGATTCCAGTGCTTGGACAGACGAAGAATCGCCTTTGCAGAAGCAAGCCTCAAATGCGCCTTGTCAACTGAACTGTAGATCACAAAAACTTTACATGAAATTTGACGCCTCATATTACAAACAACAAACTGAAGTAGATTGATCAACCTGATTCAACCATAACCAGAAAATGTACAATTTTGAACTTACCTTGTTTCTATGTCTTTTGATATTTCTCCACAAGAAAGTGTGTTTCTTAAGATTTCCAGCAGACCATCAATGCCAGAGCGAACATGAGCATCTTTGACAGGCAAATAACTTTTCACTAATGTCTTTATCCCATATATCTACAATTCAAAAAAGAAAAAACCAAGAAAAATGAAAGAGCAACCCAATGTATAAGGAGCTTGCAGTATTAAATCCAAAGAGTCACTGTATTACACTAATATATCCTGAAAAAGTTACCTAATTCCTTTTGGAGGATCAAAATGAACAAAGAAATTAAACCCACACAACTCTATAAGTTAAATAAAAATAAAAATCTCTCAAAATTGACCAACCTTTAGCAAACAAAGATCACTTTTGTCATCCCAGGATGCAATTTTATAGTCACCTGATTTCTGAAAAGTAAAGCATACGCAAGAAAACAAATTATCATCGTGTCATAAAATTAAAGATATATCACAAGTTCAGTGAATTAGAGAGGCATACATTATCGCACTTTAGGATATTTTCAAGTATAAACTTTTCAATTTCCTTCTCTCTAGTTTCAAAAACTGGCATTGCAGTCTGAGCTATACACCCCAGAGATTGTAGTACAGCAGGCAAATGTGTCCTCTCCTCCAGCATATCCACAAGCCTCTGCAAATTGAGAAATATCAACTTCCCAACTGCTAACATTATCATAATATTATACAATTTAAGAGGATCTAATTGTGCACATAAAGTAACACTAATCTTAAACCTTGTATAGAACAGAGAGTGATTTAAGTCCATCATCCTTTGTTATCGCTGCGAGGGCATGTACAGCATACTTTGCCTGTCTTCGACTGCCCTCCAAACACAACCTCTCCAATACAAGGTCTATGGAACTGCAAGATAAATATAGGACAACAATGAGCAATATATACGA